GTGTGTGTGTGTGGAGTGTGTGTGTGTGTGTGTGTGTGTGTGTGTGTGTGTGTGTGTGTGTGTGTGTGTGTGTGTGTGTGTGTGTGTGTGTGTGCAATTATTACCGTGTGATTTCATATGATGATGCAAGGCGCCGAGTTTGCAAAATCCTCTGTTGCAGACAAAACAACGTAAAGGCCAATTACCAGTATGAGAATATCTATGAGCTCTTAAATCTCCGGGTGTTGGGAAGGATCGTCCACATTCGTTACATTTGTGTGGTTTCTCCTATAAATAATTCATATATTAAACATATATTACATACTAGCGTTGGAACAGTTTTATTCTAAAAAAATGATTCTTCCAGATTAATTTATTCGCTGTTTCTAAGTTGTAAATTCAGAAAAAAGTACCTTATAATGTGTCATGCGATGATAATACAAATTCGATGATGCTGTGAAACGTTTTCCACACATTGGACATTCATGAGGACGTTCACCAGTATGAATCCTAATGTGAGTATTCAACGAGCTGCTGGTGCTAAACATTTTACCACATATCGCGCAACCATGTGGTTTTTCGCCTAAGAAGTTTTATTAATATTAATTATATGGAGAAACTTGTTTTTAAATTTTTTCACATAGTTGTTTTGTAAAGCCTTTGATAATTTTATAAATATTATTGTATCGATAATATAGACATTGTTTTGCAAAATGAAAGAGAATTAAATTGAAAACATATTTTGCTTTATTCTGTCTAACACTTTAATACTTTAATGTAAATGAGAGGTTTGTACAAAATTTGTTATAATATTAATCAAAAACTAATTAATATGTTGTTCTATCTTTTAACATTTTTAAATAAAAGTTAATAAAATTGAATTCTTTATATATTTCTATCAAATTTACCTGTATGTGTTCGCAAGTGCCTTTTCAAAAGAGAAGGCCTGTCAAAACTTTTACCGCAAGTTTGACAAGGAAGACGTCGTTGAAATTTAAAAGTACTAATAACACTTGTTTTCCATGCAGTTCCATGTCTACTTAAGTCCAAGGGTGCATTTTGTGTTACGTTCCACACTATTAACATATTTTGATCAATCGATTACATTAAAATTATATAATATTAGATTATAGCATCTTTTTAAATGTGTGCAATTAAGAAACATCTTTATGTTTATTACAATTTTATTTAAATACAATATGTTTATAAGAAATATATACATCGCGATTTTATAAAAATTTGTCATACCACATTGATAATGCGATGAGGAATGTTTCACTATACATAATAAAAAGATACATGTTGTTTCTAACAAATAAAACTGTCATGTTAAAATTTATTTATTATCTTATTATCCTCTTTGGTATGTATCTGGTTTTTGATATGTTTCGTTATAATTTAGTCTCTATAGCAACTTTATATCTCAATGTTTTACACTTACTGGACATTACGACAACTTATTATTACTTATTATTATGACGATTTGTCAGATTGGATGAATAACTGATTTTACGATAAATGAATGAGTTTAACGCGTCAATTCTTATACGATTCTTTATATGCGTAACGTGTTACCACTTCAGACAGATTAAACGCGTGATTAAAAGTAAGAAATGGTGCAACCGCGAACGACCCTCCGGCGCATGTCGAAGGCGGCGTTTTCGCAAAGGGCGGAGTTTGATCGTCGTAAAACGCTTTGTTGTCTGTGTAGTATACTTTAATAAATTTCCTGTATTTAACAACATTCCGCATTTATACAAAACAACATTTTTATAATAGAACAATAAAAAAAATGTTATTCTAAATTAGAGAAAGTATTATTACTGTATTTCTCACGTCACTATCACTCAAACAAAATTTTCTTTATAAGCGAAAGCTCTTTTTAACTCCAAAAAAAAAAAATGCTTGGGATCTCAACAGGGACCGTTACAAAAATCGGTGAAAAGTTTTGGAATTAATATGTCAAAACTTATATTTAACTTAAACTTATAATATAGCTAACTATAACTATATTCTTGATTCTAATATTTTGCCATGACTTTCAATTTCTGAGATAATATGACCGTATTATACTACTGTTGGCGCCGTCTGGTACTATAATAAACACTGTAATAAAAAACACAATATAAATTTCACGTAGCGCGATAAGATGAGGACACACGAAATATTTAGCCTCATTTAATAATTTCTGTTATGAGAGATTGTAAATGATAAAATTATAAAGTATGACGATTAAATCTTTTTTATATAAACTTAAACACGCGTAAAAGTTCATCGTCCGATGTTATCATTTAGATTTTATAATATTTCTTTTACACCATTTCTAAATTTTATATAAAATATATATAACAAATATACATATGATACTCTCCACAAGCTAATAAAATCCTCAAGAAAGAAATATGATATTCTTTTTGATATAATTACATCCAATTATTATTACATTTCTCATGACCAGTCTCCTATGTTTAATCAGCATTGAACGAAAATACATTTGTCGTTAAATACACGTTTATAATAACATCCGCGTTCCCTAATATCTATTTATTTATACATCTGTATAAAAATATGTTTCATACGCGTCCATTAGACCGCAAGACAGACTTTATTATATGGATAAAGCTTATGAAGCAGTTAGCCGGCAATAGTGCTTTGTCATCGCACTCATTATTATCTACACCTATAATATTCGCTTGGAAGCATTGGCGCAAAAGAGGAGGTGAGATAATTCGTCGTGTAGCATCGGGCCATCGGATGTCCTGCCGTGCGGAACGTCATTTGTCAACGCAGAGGATATTAAAGCCATTGAATGCTCCGCAGGATCTTTACAAATCGGTTCTTCATCGACCATAGGCAACAATGTACATGATTTTGCTGTGTAGCGGTGTGTATTATCAAAACCGATCGATTTTTCCGTAGAGTATAAATTACCGTTCTAAATGTTCCTGAGTTTTTCTCGTTTTTTCTCGATGGTATTCTTCATGGTATCCATATAAATCCAGTTTTCTCCTCACAAAATTTTTGACAAGTCAAATAAAATGAAAATAAAGTTTTTTCTCAGATTAATAATCTTGTAATATAATTTTAGAATCTTTTTCAAGAAAATAATTTATCGTGTCATTTTTATTATAAATGAGACATGTATATCTTAATTCAATTTATCATAATATAATATAAATATTTTAATAATATTCCATGTTACATAAATAATAATGCAATATTTCGAAAAAATTAATTTTCATTTACATTAAAAATTTAACTAGATACTATTTATTAATATTATTTTTTCTATTATAATTTGCTGTATAAGAATCTTGTTATTTTGAAAAAATATGCCTCATTAGAGGAACATAAATTTTTTACATAGATGAAATACTTGGCGTGCATTTCATATCATTGATGTCATTTATTAAAATTTTATATATTTACATAAAGATTTATCATGATTATCAACATATATCGCGGATATATTTCAAATAATATAGAATAGATTTTCATTTACAAACCCACGTCGCCAAAATGTATTTATTTTAACATTGTACTTTTTCTTACATTGCTAGTATTTAAAATAAAATTAGAGTTTAAATCATAGAAATGTGTTTTATTTATTATAGTTAAATAACATATGTGCATAAAACTTAATTTAATATTGTGTACGTTTTATATCTCTCATGTATAATTATTGTTTATAAAATCACATTACTTTTAATTGTTACATCCATTAAAAGAACAATAGGATACAAAATAGATGATTTGTTTTACGATATTTCGTTTTGTTAATTACACATTTGTATAATTTTTGTTGAATTCTTCGTATTTTAGAGACATATCTCGTATTAACTCTACAATCAATATTCATAATCCATTCTTATATTTAAAGTACACACACGCGCGTGCGCGCGCGCAGATTTAAGCCGTCATAAGTAAAATCAGAAACGTATTGGCATCTTAAGACATTACTCAAGACGATCTTGAAGTAAGAATGAAATTAGGAATATCAGTATGATAGAGATGTACGTGTGTTGTTCTTCCAAGTATTTATTTATAATGTTTGAAAGTATTCGTATTACGAGTACGAATTTAAAAATATTGCTGTATTAGATGGCATAAAGAATAAATGACGCAGTTGTTAGAATTTAAAATAACTTTAGCTACAGAGGGATAGGCTTTTTGTAAGGCTAGTTTAAAAATGTGATATTTTAAGATGTTCTATTATTTTGGATAACAAATAATGCAAAGAATACATAATCCAGTATATATAATCTATTCCATATAATCGTGTTTAATCACTCAAGCTTAGAGTTTGATTCACTCTACCCAAGTTAGGTACAGATTGGAACTTTACCTTCCTTGTTTGCGATACATATTCCAATTCCAACATAATCAACTCATTCTCGCCTGTACGAAGATAAGGAGCTGGAACATACAGGGTAATTTGCGGACCTACTACTGGCCAGTATCTGCCGAGATTGTGACCATTGACGAAAGCTACTCCTTTTCCCCAACCGGTAGTATCCAGAAATGTGTCGAGTGGTTGCCCAGTAATCGTGAATCGTCCACGTAAAAATACCGGACCATTGTTTAGAGTTCCACTCTCGATGCGTATTGTTGCCATATTCCAGAGAGAGGATACGTCGGAAAATGTATATCCTGTCATATTCCAGCTAGTCAGCGGAGTACCGCTAATAGTTACATCCGATATACCCTGAGATGCATCACAAAAAAATCAAACGTATTTAATATTAAAATTACGCATTTCTTCTATATTTATTGAGTTAACATAAATTAATTACTGCGCACACAATTTATAAATGACAAATAACTAAAAAGATTGTCATTACTATCGTGTGCTTATTATTCTGTTTTAATACTTCCTAATACCTTGAAATCGTGAATTTCATTGCCGAAATTTAGACGTCCTTGATTCTCTACTAACAGACTTAGGCGACGACCGTAAGGACTCTCCAGCGGTATAGTAAATATCTTATCTATGCGACTTAGAGTACCGCATAATCGATTATCCACATAAACCAGCGCTCTATCTTTGGTCGTTGCTCGTAATACAGCCGGATCCGAAATAGAAGATGGCAAGTTTGTCTCATAAAGGACAAATCCTTGATTCACAGAAAGAGCTTCAAAGGTTTTAGGCTGATCTCCAGTCTCCCGGATCACCACGAATGGAGATCGAGCGTCAAGCAATTTCTGCACCGGTTCTAATAATACTGGCCCATAATTACCTTTCGGAGATGCAGTTGGGAGAGACATGTTTGGCAACGGCAAATACTGTAATTTCAAAACGCATACGTGGATATGTATATATATATATATATATATGATATTTACTAATATGCGTTTCTGCAATCAATAACAAGCAAGATTTTTTATTTGACTAAGTTTTTTTAAACTTGTCAAATAAAAAATGCGACAACGTATTATCGACAAAAAAAATCATAAAACATACACGACCAATGACATCTCTTATAGCAAAGTATTTATCTGTCGGATCTCCAGCTTCGGTCAAAGGAGCATCGTAATCGTACGAAGTCAATTGTGGATTGTACACACCTGCTCCGCCATTAGCTCCTGTTGACGATCATTAAATTGAATAAAATATGTTTGTCGATTTAATTAGCCTTATTAATTGTCGTACCAGAATTTTACTACATTTTACTATAACGTAAAATTAACAGGAAGTTTACTGACCAGAAGTGAGACCAAAGTTTGTACCCCCGTAAAACATGTAAAAGTTAACGGAAGCGCCTATAGAAAGCATTTCTCTCAATATCTTTGTAACAGCTTCCGTTTTTATTCTTTGAAAAGTTTCTCCCCAATGGGTTAACCAACCTGGATAGAATTCAGAGTTCACTAATGGACCCTACGTAATAATTTTTATAATTGACTAAACATTTGGATTTTTCATACTGATTTCTTGAGTAGCAAGACAGTAACATTACTTACTCGTGGCTGATAAAGACGCATAGATTGGAAACTATTGGTCACATTGCCGGATGTTCCAAAATCGACAGTAGCATATACACCAGGTATGAATCCGCATCGAAGTAAAGATGCAGATGCACCGTCAGTTGTGTACAGAAGAGCTTTATTTTCGATTTGTCTAACAAAAACTTCTTTTAGCATGTCCATATACTCCGTATCGCAAGCGTTGTAACTTCCGTATTCGTTCTCTATCTATTAAAATCGTTAGGATAACAACAATAAAGTGGCAAAAAAATTGATTCATTACATTCAATTGATATTACTTTAGGTCGTAAGTGTTACCTGAACCATAATTATCGGTCCCCCATTGCCTCTTAAAAGTGGTTTTATTTTTCTAGTACCTGATTTAAATATAATGTAGCGTATCTCATGTAATCTGTGAAAAAAACT